TTCAATGCTTTGAAGGCTTCTTCACACCGAGCATCCCATTGAAAGGCTTTCTTTAAGACTTGAAAGAAGGGCTAACACTTGTCACTTGATCTGAAAACGAAGCGACTCAGGACAGCTATTCTTCTGGTTAAACGCTGTATTTCCCTCGTGTTGGAGGGAAGTTGCATATCCAACACTACTTTTACCTTTTCTGGGTTAGCCTCTATCCCTCTACTATTAACTATGAATCCCAACAAATTTTCTGTCGACACCCCAAAGGCACACTTAGCTTGGTTGAGCTTCATCTTATATTCTCTCAAGACTTGAAATGACTCTGCTAGGTGTCCAATGTGGAGCTCTGCCCTCAATGACTTGACTAGCATGTCGTCAATACAGACCTCCATGAAGGTCCCAATCTATTTTTGAAACATCTTATTCACCAGGCACTGGTAAGTGGCTCCTGCATTTTTTAATCCGAAAGGTATCACTTGATAGTAGTATGTCCCCTGCTCAGTTATGAATGAGGTCTTCTCTTGGTCACTGAGATCCATCCTGATCTGATTATACCCAGAGAAGGCATCCATGAAACTGAGGAGCTCATGTCCCGCAGTGGCGTCTACAATCAAATCTATCTGGGGTAAAGAAAAACTGTCTTTTGGGCAAGCACGGTTGAGGTCTGTAAAGTCAATGCAAAGACGTCATTTGCCAATTGTCTTTTTGACTAAGACTACGTTGGCTAGCCAGACTGGGTAATCCACCTCTCGAATGACTTTTGCGTGAAGGAGCTTACTAACCTCTTCGTTGATGGCTTTTTGACGCTCCGGGGCAAAGCTCCTTCTCTTCTGTTTAACGGGCTTGCAGGCTGGATTCACGCTGAGCTTGTGAGTGATGACAGAGGGATCAACCCCCTTCATGTCCTCTTGCTTCCTTCTAAAAACTTTGTTGTTCTTTTTTAGGAATTGGATAAGGAGATCTTTGATTTCCTTGCTCAGCTTAGATCCAACGTAAACAAGATGCTCTGACTCCTCGTCCATTTGAACAGGTTCCAGCTCTTCCGATGGTGTTGGCCTGGTCTCAAGTTTATCCCTCATGTCAAGCTCATCCAATTGGATGCTCTCAACCTCCTTACTTCTCATGGATGTCATATAGCATTCCCGTGCTACGCGCTGGTCTCCTCGGACTACTCCAACTCCATTTTCTATTGGAAACTTCACTACAAGGTGAAAGGTAGAGGGAATAGCCCTTATAGAATTGAACGAGGGTCTTCCAAGGAGCATATTGTATGCTGAAGGTGCATCAACCACTAGGAATTTCACAGTTGTTGTAGTTTGACAGGGTGGGTCACCTAAGATCAAGATGAGTTGGATTGACCCTAGTGGCAGCACCCTTTCTCTTGAGAATCCCAATAGGTGGGCACTTACTGGTTTAAGCTTTTCTCTTCCTATATCCATTTTGTCGAATGCAGAAGCAAAAATAATGTCTGTCAAGCTGCCATTGTCAATTAAAACACGATGGCTCTAATTTTTCGCAAGTGGGCCTTTCTGGCAGAGCTGGACCCAGTGTTTTGAAAAGCTCGCCTAGGCGAGAAGCGAGGCGAGGCGAGCTTATCTCGCCTGGAGGACCCCAGGCGAAGCGAACGTGAGCAAAGCGAGAAAAAAGCGAGAAAAAGCGAAAAAGCGAAGAAGCGAAAAAAGCGAACGCTTTATTATAAAAAGCGATTCTGCTTCACTTTTTTTTTTTTTTTTCTGATTACAGGTTAGTAGTCTCTTTTATTTTTTAATCACTAATGACTTTTTTTTTAGACTATTGCTGGTCTATTTTTTTTTTTTCTAATAAACAATATTTCGAACAAAACATATTCTTTTTTTTTCCTTGTGTTGCTGAATTCATTTAGAATATTTGTGGGATGTGGGAGTCAGACGACTACACTGCATGACAATTATGATAAAAAAAATAAAGCAGGAGTATCAGAAATGAGGGTAAATAATAAATTCTTCTACAAAGAAGTGTCTCTGATATGTCTTGGTTATATTTTTCCCTTTTCTTATATATATACAAATGGTACCAAAAAGTGGTCTATGCTTATACCATGTTTAATTATTTTAGTACATGTGAAATGTGCCTCTGTTCTGCTTTTTTTTATTCAGTATATAATTACATATGAAATTGTTTACAATTGATTCTGCTCCTGTCATGATCATTGTGCTTCTGTTTTTTTTTTAGCTCATTCTGCTTCTATTTTTTTTTTGTTGATTATGTTGCTGCTTCGATTTTGCTGTCCTGTGTTGCTTTTATTTTTTTGAATTGTCATTCTGCTTCTTTTTTTTTTTGTTGCTAATTCTGCTGTTGTCCTGATTCTGCTTTTTTTGTTGTCCTACCCTGTCAATATGAAAATGTATACAATTGTTAGTATTTGTTTGAATTTAAATGTTTAAGTTATGACTGTTATTAAGATTTGAGATATTATTAGTGTTTTTTTTAATTTAAATGTTTATGGTTTTACTTGCATTTAAATATTTAGTATATATAAAATTAGAACTTAGATTGTTTAGAAGTAATTAAACTAAAATATATATATTTTTTTAAGTGTTTGCTTTGCTTCGGTAAAGCGTGTCGCTTCGCTTCTCGCTTCTCGCCTAGGCGTTAGGAGCCTTGGTCGCTTCGGTTCGCTTTACGCCTTAAATAACACTGGCTGGACCCTCCTCCTCCAGCAAATCCTCCAAATATCACTCTAATCTCCCCCATAGATTACTGGTGTGGCTCTGGCGTTTGACGCTGAGGGGGTGGAGGTGGTAGAGCTCAATTTTGACTACCTTTGGCCATATAGCGCCGCAGCTAGCCTCGTTGGATTAGAAATTCTATTTTTTTCTTCAATTGGATATAGTCGTCGGTGTGATGTCCATGGTCTCTGTGGAAGTCACAATATTTCGTAGGATCCCTTTTTGCTAGGTCTGCTTTCATCCGAGGTGGCCGCCTTAAAAACTTCTCATGTTGCACCTCATATAGTATCTGAGATACTGTAGCAGTCAGAGGAGTGAGTTGTCGGGGTTCATACCTCGGCTATAGCTCTGGTTGTGGAAGGCCGAGGTGATCCCTGACATTACCTCTTATCTTCGAGGAACGCTCTCTATCTCTTCTTGGAGACCTGCCTCGCTCTCTTTCCTTTCTGGGATTTCGTTCTGTCTTCTTTTCTTCCTTCCCTTTCTTTTTTCTCGACGAAGAGCTCCTGGCCTTGGAGAGGAGCGCTTTCTCACCATTTGATGTACTTTTCTGCTTTAACGAGCACCTCCGCCATACTAGCCTGGGGGTTCTTTGAGATGAAAAACATCAGATCTTTTGACTGAACTCCCAAACCTGCTATGAAGGCTGTAATAAAAAAAATTTCATCCGGGACATCCACCTTCAAGGATTCTGAGTTGAACCGTTGGACATAAGACCGTAGGTTCTCATTAGGACCCTATTTCACATTTAACAAATGATAGCTCGATTTCCTATAGGTCCGAGCTCCAATGAAGTGGGACACAAACGAGATTGACAGCCCTTTAAAAGAGGAGATCGAGGCTGGGGGAAGTCTATTGAACCATGTTAAGGCTGAGCCCTTCAGGGTGATAGCAAAGACTCTGCATCTCACTGGATCTTGATATCCATACAACTCCATTTGGTTTTTGTAGGTGTTGAGGTGATCCACGGGATCCTTTGTCCCATCGAAAGCATCTACCTGCGACATTCTGAATTTATGTGGGAGAGGGAAGTGCAGCACCCCAACAGTGAATGGGGGTTCGGTTTGCTGTACCAAGACGTCCATAGTGACTGGGACCTTGCTCTTCACTGCCTCTTTTATCTGATTGAGCTCTTGCTAAATGTCTTTGAAACGTTGCTCCCAGTGATGTTCTCTTCTCTCCTGTTGATAAGGGAAGAAGTTGCTCTTCTCCCCTTCCTTATATTGACTTTGCACTTTCTCGTTGTAACCATCCCTAGGGGGTAGGCGAGATTCTTGCCCTAAGATTTGACTATTTTCTCCCACCTCATTAACTTCTTTGAGGGGGTCGAGATGTGGTGGCTCCCTTGGTGGTGGATTATTTTGGCCTCCTTGGACCAGTCGCGCCTCCTGTGGGAGTTGTAGGAGCTTTAAGAGCTCTTCGTTCTGTTTTATCAGACGTTCATTGACAAGACGAAGGGCCTCCATTTCATTATTCATGGAAAGATTCCCCATGGGGGGATCTGCTTCTTGCGCATATTCAGGCTGTATGCTATTTGTGGCTTCCTGTTAATCTTGCATCCATAGAGGATTGGTCTGACTTCGGCTCATGTTTCGCGTTAATACCATCAGTCACTGAAAAATCAGATTTATTTGTAACAGGAACAGTCTTTCCCACAAACGGCGCCAAACTGATGGTGTAAACCGAATTATATGAGTAATGAGTCGTTATTATGCTTTGCAGTGATGGTGGTGTGATAAAGAGAAATATTTTTCTAGGGGCTGGGAGGATTAACACAGAAGAAGTATAGTGGTTCACCAGCTCGAGAGCTCGGCTAATCCACTCTTTAATAGAGACTTTTGTTCCTTGCCTTTCAATAATGATGATTATCGGAGTAAAATTGCTAATTTTTGCCTCTAGGGTCCTCTACCCTTCTTTGGGGGCGTTACATTGTATTTATAGGGTTGTTCCTATTCAGTGAGATCTTGGCCAAGATTCTTGCCCTTATTTCGTGAGGTTCTCCTTATTTCTAGGAGAAGATCTTGGTTGGTTGAGATTAGGTGTCTTGATTATAGCTTCCTAACGCTTCAAGAACCTCTCGTGGTTATCCAGCCGTTGCCTTGCCTCAAATGACATTCAACCCTTGCCCTCTGACCTCAGTTAATATGACTGACCTTCCGGTCTGAGCTGAACTTCTAAGCTAACACTTGGGATTTACTTTAAGCATCATCAAATTCCAATGTATACATGTTTTCCGTTCAAAATATAAAGGACTGAATAGCTTCAAGTGGTAAAGTGAGAATGTGACAGAGGCAAAGAGTGATCGATCCCTTTTTTATTGCAAAAACTATTCTCTTATTAATATAGATGCTGCAATGCTACAAGATACAAGATACAAGATACAAGATAAGGTTTGTGGTATATGCCACGCTCTATTAATGAGGACAACAACATCTAAGTTTAATGGCCACCGACAACAATGAAATAGACTCAGAAAATTCAGACACACACAGAGATCATCTTCCACAAGTAGGCTCCCAAAATCATATTATTATTGCACTCTGTTTTTGATCCGCCATTGAAGTTAATTTGAAGCTGCAGCTTTTGCCCTGGCTGCTTGAAACGACTTAAGAATTTCTATGAGCTTCTCGGGCTCTAGTATGACACCTTTCACAACATCATTTGAACTAAACCTTTCAGCCCAACCCAACAGCTCTGGTGTCTTGGTTTCAGTAAGCAGCTTCACCTCAGCTATTATCTCTCCTACCTTCAACAACCCCAGGAAAGAGCCCAGAGCAAGGTCAAGGAACCCAATACTGTCACCGCCAAAGAAAGCCTTCCCTTTACCGCCTTTGACAAACACTTCCTCTAACAACACCAACCCTTCAACTATTTTCTCTATCAATGATGCCTTAGCCTCTTCTCCTTGTGCCGTCCTAAGCTCCTTAATTAATGGGAACCACTACAACAACTCAAATTATGTCAAAACACAATCCTAACACATAATCGAAATTTCTAGAGTAAACTAGATATATAACTCTTAAATTATGATTCTTGTATCCATTAAGCCCTGATTTTTTAATTTTTTTTTGTCAATTGATTTTTCGAACTCTCTAATTGTGTCAATTTAGTCATTTTATTTGTCTTTGATAGTTTTTATAATGGAAAATGACAAAGTGTGTCACTTATGTGACACAAATGGTTTGAGTAAAATATACATATAGAGGCTATTTGGTAAGGGGTGTGAGGGGCTTGACAAGATAAATTTGGGAAAATAGTCCAAAGGACCCCTAACCCCCAAGTTTGGATTAAAAATGAAACCCTAGGCTCTCAAATTCGGCCCATAATTGACCTGAATATTAACTCATGATCATGAATTTCGTCAAACCTAAGGGGTGAGTGGGTTTGGGAAGATGAGTTAAGGGGTTAATGATGAAAAAGATAATTGTACCCCTTAACATGGGTATAAAATAGACTGATCAAAAGTAAAATAATTATTTACAGGACAAATAGTTATTAATAATTATGATATATATGTGAGTCCTATACGTGTATGTGTTGTATACCAAATATGGATATATATTGGATTTAATGTTGAATTCTATCTTTGTAAAGGGAGTTTGGGTTTGAAAGGTCCAAACTCTCCTCAAAAATCCATCCAAACAAAGCCATAGTCCTTAAACTATAACTCTTGTGTCAATTAACCCCTAAACTTTTTTGTATGTATCAATTGAGCTTTTGAATTCCCTAATTGTGACAATTGAGTCTTTTTTATCTTTTTATGTCATATAGACACATGTGTAGCACACTCTAACAGATGCAGAAATAACGGCTCAATTGTCGTAATAAAAGAGTTCAGAAATTTAATTAACACATACACTAAAATTCAAGGGCTTAGTTGATGCAAGGACCATAGTTTAAAGATGATATATATATACTAGTCATAAACCGTGCTTGAAGGCACGATTAAATATAAAATTTGAGAATCCAAAAAATTGATCCCATTATATTAACTACAAATATATATACAAATAGATATGATGTTTTTAGGGAATAAATATATAAATGATTAAATATATGATAGAAATAAGTGATGTTATTTGACATTTGAGTCTGATAAATGGATGAAATAAGTAATTGGTATGATTTCAAGGAAAAAAATATGACTAGAATAAAATTTTATCATACTCCTATTATATTATATAGATATATATATAGTTTACTCAAATTTATATAAGAAAAAAGTTCAATAAAGATAGATCTGACAATTTAGGCGTGACTTGCTCATGTCATACAAAATCAACACAAAAATAGCAAATTCGAATATTAAATAAGTGACGTCGCCAAACCCGTCTGGTGTATACACTACACCAAGTTACAGAGGCAACAATATTATGATTATAAACGAAATGAGTATAAATGGAGTGAATTTTAGCTGATTTAAATACAACACTAACTTCAACTCGACTCGTTAAAAGCACTGATTTGAGATGAGAAGTACCTTATCGTCAAGATAGGCTGCCCAGAAACGAGCAGTGGCACGCTCGTAGGGATCAGAAGGGAGGATCGAAGGGCCATTAGTAAAGACCTCATCGATGTACTGGACGATGACAAGGGACTCACAGATGGGCTTATCGCCATGGATTAGAACTGGGACTTTCTTGTGCACAGGGTTTGATTTAAGGAGGAGCTCGCTTTTGGCAAATAAATTTTCTGCAATGAACTCATAGTCGATAGACTTCACGTTGAGGGCGATTTGGGCCCGATTGACGTAGGGGCTTGCGGATGCACCGAGAAGCCTTACATCACTATTCGCCATTGGCAAATTATCAAACAGGTGGTAGGCAGGAATTCTGAAGAAGAAGCTATGCAAGATGTGGATGGAGATTTGTGGAGCATAAGTGCTGGAACCGTTGGGTATTTATTAGAGTGACAGAACATTTAAGTGAGCTATGCGGTGACGTAAAAGGGGGACATGTGAATATGGAGGCGTTGAAGAAAGTCATAATGGGCTTGCCAAACACACAAAAACTTGGTACATTTTTTAAATTAGGATTAATTACAAAATATCCCCTTTAAGTTTGGACTAAATTGTAATTAACTTCTTGTTGTTTGAATTTCAACAAATTACTCCCTCAAACTTTGTACATTTTTCAATTAACTCAAATTATTTGTTTTGAAAATGAAAAATAATAAAAAATTAAGTCACATGATCTCAAATTTATTAAAAATAAAAAATTACCTTGAATTCGAAAAACTCTCTGTTCTTCTTTCCAAAACAAACGATTAGAAAGGTGATCTTATCTCTTCATAAAATTTGAAATCACGTGACTTACAAAATGATTTTTTTTTTAATTTTTTATTGTTAAAATTAATGACTTGACTTAATTGACAAATATTAAAACTTTGATGGGACAAACTGTTAAAACTAAAACTAGAGAAAATCAATTAAATATGATCTAAGCTGGAAGAGAATATCATGTAATTAACCCTTTAAATTAACATAAGAAAGATACAATTGGCTTGGAAAACACACAAACACCGGTACATAATTGTGTATATATATATATATATATATATTTATATAATATGAAATATGATAGATTTTAATAAATCTATCCAACGGTTATTAACATTTTTTTTAAAATTATTCACATTGCAACGTATCTTCAAACTTGATTACGCTAATAAAAAGATAAAATTACACTTTGACTTCCTCGACAATGAAGAAATTTTTTAAGGGTTTAGGGAGGCCAATATCTCCTAAAAAATTTAATAGGATAAAAGTATATTTTTTAAAATAATTAGAATAGAAATATATATATTAAAAAAAAGTCATAAAAAGCCCTTTTATCCCTACCATAAATAGTGCATACTTACTTGAATGTGACACTTTCAAGATTTTTTTTTATATTTGTGTATCATTTGAATTTTGAAATTTCATATATCTATATAATAAAACAGAAGTGTGTTTGAATTTTGTCTCAATCATATTTTTCCCTTTAAAATCATCACCAATCACTTATCTCATTCATCATCCCTTTGTCAAACTCAAACGTCAAATCACATCACTTATTACTATCATATGTTTAATCATTTATATATTTATTCCGAAAAATATCATATTACTCATTTCTATAATATATTTAATCATTTAATATTTAATTAATTTGTAGTTAATATATTTAAAAAAAAATTAATATAATGAGATCGATTTTTTAAACGTTTGAATTTTATATTTTATCGTACTTCAGGCATGAGTTATGACTAATATATATATGAAATATATTTTAGAAATAATTTAAAAATATTTTAAAATGTATTCTTATTGATAACTATTTGATAAAAAAAAGTATTTAAAGGAGAATAAGTTTGAAAGTAATATTTAAAATCAAATAAATTTTGAAAAAGATAGTCACATCTTATTATCTCATTTTTTTTTTATGTATATTACACACAATATGGCTTGAATTGACACACGTAGTTTGTAGTGTGTACCTACGTAAATGTTGCGCGCTCAGCCACACACAAACTCGGCTGGCCCACATGACTCAAAGTTAACGGATAGAGTAACGGAGCAAACTTGGAGGTATAAAAATAAAATTAAATCTGGTATTTTATTCTTTAAGTTGAACTTATTAACTATTAAGTGAGCAATTTTACTAGATTGCAACTTAGGAATTTAATTTGAATATTTATTATAGAGTAATGTTATTGAGATTTAAAAATTAAATTTAATTTGCTGAGACGTAGAAATTGACGAGATCCAATAAAATTATACTAACCACAAATGTAAATTTTTTTATTAAAATTATATCACTTCACAAATCATTTGGTTTTTTTGGAATGGCATATCATTAGTTCAAAACTAAAATGTTTAAATATTTGTGAGTTAAAATTTATTATAAAAAAATGCATAATAATCATTAATATTGTAGCAACAAACAAGTGATTATTATGTATTTTTTGACAATAAATTTTAATAAAAACCAGAAATTTAAACTTTTTAGTTTTTGAGTTACAGATTTGCGAAGTGATATAATTTCAATAAAAAAAAAATTAACATTTGTGGCTTGGGACACGTGGTGTTTGTGTCCTGGCTATTTATATTTTGGATGGAATTCATAATAATAGTTAGGGCGATAATCAAACTCAACTCAAATTCAGTTTTTTTGGGCTCGTTCAAGCTCGACAAGCCTAAATTTGAATAATTTTTTAAATTCGTTTGAAAGACGAACTTGACATGCTTGACTTGAATTCGACGGAATCGATTTATTTATATGTAAATACTTGAACTTCATTCGTTCAAACTTGGCTCATTTTTTAAATCAGCCAAACTCAACAAACTCAGCTCGAGCTCGTTTGGACTCGTTCAATTATAAGCTCTAATTGTAGCACCTTAGTCTAAAAGCACAATGAGGTTATGCGGTGATTTTTGAACGATAGTTGTTGAATTTCTAAATGATCAAACCAAGTGCAGGTAAAATGGATTTAACCCTTCATTTTTTGTGATTCTATCCATTATCTATATTATTCAAGCAGTAATTTGGTGCTTTTTAATAACTCAAAAAACAAATAAAAACGAAAGAGGGGGTTTCGTATTAGAGATGGCTGTACTGCTACAATCTTGGTGAAGAGGTTATGGAAAGCCACACTCCAGTAATTGGTATTTGGTGGACTACAAACAGCCATGAAAAGGAAAGAGAAAATAAAGATACAGGGAGATCATCTTCCAACAAGCAGGCTGCCATAGACATTGCACTCTGCTTTCTGAGTAAATATTGGGTGTAACCCTCCAATAAGAAAATAACAAAAGTAGTAAAATAGGATTCATTTTCTATCATAGAGTTGGTTATGTATAAAATGGCTAGAGTGGTTATGAGTTTTAATGGGACTCATTTGCTACTGCTGACATGGTGTAATGGTTACCCCCAATATTTTTTCTTGTTTTCTGATCAACTATAGACCTTATTTGCAGCAGCAGCAGCCACAATTTCTCTCGCCTTACAAATCCTAAGAATCTCTATGAGCTTCGCAGGTTCTGGTAATACATCTTTAACAGCATCATTTGCACAAAACCTCTCAGCCCATGCCAACAACTCCGGTGTCTTGGTTTCAATAAGCAGCTTCACCTCAGCCGTTATCTCTAACACCCACAGCCACCCCAAGTAGCAACCCAGGACAATATCAAGGTACCCAATACTATCCCTACCAAAGAAAGCTTTCCCTTTGCCACCTTTGCCAAACACTTCCTCCAACAACACCAGCCCTTCAACTATTTTATCTACCACTGCGGGCCTCGCTGCCTCCTCCCTTGCCGTCCAAAGCTCCCTGAATAATGGAAACCACTGCAAACATTTGAACTATGTCAAAATAAGATCGCAATACATAATTGAAATTTCTATTTTAAGAAAAAAAAATTTTTAATAAAGATAGATCTAACAATTTTGGTATGAAAATGCACATGTCATACAAAATCAAGAAAAAAAACAACGAATACGAATATTAACCAAGTGAACTCAGCCAAATGAACTCGCCAAACCTGTTAAATAAGTAACGCACACAAACACCTAAGCACAGTTTATACACTTATGGAGGCAAGAATCTCCATGATTATAAACGAAATGAGTACAAATAAAGTGAATTTTAACACAACATGATTTAGATACAACACCAACTTCAACTCGACTCATTAACGGCGCTAACTTGATATGAGAAGTACCTTATTGTCAATATAGGCTGCCCAGAAACGAGCAGTGGCACGCTCGTAGGGATCAGAAGGGAAGATCGAAGAACCATTCGTAAAGACCTCATCAATGTACTGGACGATGACAACGGACTCGCAGATGGGCTTGCTGCCATGAATAAAAACTGGGATTTTCTTGTGCACGGGGTTAGATTTAAGGAGGAGTTCGCTTTTGGCAATTACATTTTCTTCAATCAACTCATAGTCAATGGACTTCAAGTTGAGGGCGACTTGGACCCGATTGACATAGGGGCTTGGTGCTGCACCGAGAAGCTTTACATCACTTGTCGCCATGGCAAATTATCAAGCAGGTGGTAATCAGAAATTCTGAACACAAAACTATGCAATATGTTGATGGAGATATGTGGAGTGAACTGGTCAAACCTTTGTTGTTTATGAGAATGGGCAGAACATAGTGAGATACGCTATGACGCACAAGATGTGGGCACATTTGAACATTGAGACATGGAATTAGACAAACAAATACAAACTGGTATACTTTTTCAATTAATATGAGGCAAACACACAAAACATTGCTATATAGTACACGCAAGCACATATATTAAAAAGATAAATTACACTTTTATCGTAAAACAAGCAGATTTATGGAGGTGTAAATAACTAATTCAAACAAATTAAGAGCTAGAAAAACAATATTGAAAGTAAAAGAGGAATGGGAACAAATAAATCATCTGTGTGTTCTTCATTCAAAAAGGCTAGGCTTATTTATAGGCAATACAAAAAGTCTTCTTGGTAGAAAGATAGAAGACTATCGTACCCATTAAATGTAGTTAATATTTCTGCATTGTATGGTCATGTCCAAATATTATCTGCTACTATTTATGTATAATAGTCATTCATATTAACAGCATTTACAAAACTCTCCATTGGATGACTATTTATATAACACTAGGATAAAAAATCTGATTTTGATAAAATCGTTACGATCTTAAGCACTACCTCTCGTTAAAAACCTTGCTAAGTAAAAATCAATGGAAAAAACCTTAGCGAAAGAAAAAAAAAAAAAAAAACAAGTGTCCCCCTGTTGAAGGCATCCATTCAAAATGATGATTGTTCAGCTTGATAGAGTTTTGAGACGCTGCATTTCAATTTGGTTCACCAATATCTGGAATGTAGTCGATGAGAGTGCATTAGTGAACAAATCTACCAGATTTTCAGTTGAACGAATATGTTGAACATTAATATCACCGTTCTTCTCCAGCTCATGTGTGTAAAAGAATTTTGGTGATATATGTTTTGTTCTGTCATCCTTGATATATCATTCCTTAAGCTGTGTGATACAAGTTGCATTATCCTTGTACAATACTGTTGGGATGCCTTTGATTGAAGATAGTCCACTTTGCTCTTGAATATGTTGGATCATAGATCTTTGACAAATACATTCTTGACTTGCTTCATGGATGACTAGTATTTCAGAGTGATTGGATGATGTAGCAACCATTGTTTGCTTAACTGATTTTCATGATATAGTTGTTCCACCATAAGTGAACACATATCCAGTTTGTGATCGAACCTTGTGTGGATCAGAATGATAACCAGCATCCGCATCCAACTAACTGTTTGGTTATTTGTGTAAAATAACTCCATGTCCACTGTCCCACGGAGATATCGTAATACATGCTTGCTTTCATTCAAATGTCTTCAAGTTGGTGCTGAGTTGTACCTTACCAGTAAGTTATCTGCAAATAATATGTCTGGCCTCGTACAGTTTGTTAAATAAATTAGTGCACCAATTGCACTGAGATATAGTGCCTTTGGACCAAGAAGTGTTTCACCTTCTTCTTGAGGGCGAAATGGATTATTTTTTATATCTAATGATCTGACGATCATTGGTGAACTCAACGGATGTGATTTATCCATATAGAATTGTTTTAAGATCTTTTCTGTGTATGTTGATTGATGCACAAAAACTCTAGTGGATAAATGTTCAATCTGTAGACCAAGACAAAATTTTGTTTGTCCAAGATCTTTCATCTCAAACTCACTTTTTAAATAGTTGGCAACTTTTGTGAGTTCTTCTGGAATGCCTACTAAATTTAAATCATCAACATATATAACAATAATAGAAAATCCACTGTTAGATCTTTTAATAAAAATACATGAACATATCAAATCATTGGCATATCCCTCTTTCAAGAGATATTCACTAAGACGATTATACCACATCCATCCTAATAGTTTTAATCCATACAACGATCATTGAAGTTTAATGGAATATAACCTTCGAAGCTCTAAGTTATATGCTTCTAGCATTTTGAATCTTTTAGGAATTTTCATGTATATCTTATTATTTAATGAGCCATATAAATACGCAATGATGACGTCCATTAAACGCATATCCATTCTTTTAGAGACTGCAAGACCTATCAAAACTTTGAAAGTGAGAGCATCTATTATGGGAGAATAGGTCTTATCATAATCAATATCATGTCTCTGTGAGAAACCCTATGCCACAAGTCGTGTCTTATACTGTACAATTTCATTTTTCTCATTTTGTTTTCTCACGAACACTCATTTATATCCAACGGATTCAATACCTTATGGTGTTTGGCCTACATGTTCAAATACATTGTGTTTTGTTAGTGAGCTTAACTTTGTTTGAATTGCTTCTTTTCATTTTGGCCAATTATTTCTATGTCGACATTCATTGACAGTTTTTGGTTCAGGCTCCTCACCATTTCTTAAAATACCAATAGCAACAGTAAATAAAAATATGTCATCCACAATAATATTTCAATCCCATCTTTTTCTATTATGCACATAGTTTATATAGATCTCACCATTCTCAGGTATCTGAGTCTCTTCCAGAGATATTTGGGATTTTTAAGGAGTTAATTGAGTCTCTACTAGAGGTAATTATTTTGTCGGAATGACTCTCTTTAGGGATACAAACTTCTGACTTGTTATTCTTTTCAGGAGCATTAACTTCCTTATTTATTCTCTCTTTCCCTTTTATTTTCCTAGGGACAATATCTTTTGCACTAACAAGTCTACCACGCTTTAGGCGTATCTTAGACTCATTTGTAGTTGTGATACCACATTGTCCTATAGGGACATCAATTCTTACTAGTGCATTTGCAATTGACACATGTGACTTTGTTATTTTATTTGTGTCGGTGAATGCATCAAGTAAATTATTCGTAATTCCTTTCAAATGAATGATCATTTGAACTTCCAGTTCACATTGATTTGTTCAGGGATCAAAATGAGATAAAGATGGAACATTTCAAGTGAGTTTATGTTGTTCTCTAGGCCTTTTATTGTCTCCCCCTAATGGTGAAAAAACTAATTCATTGAAATGACAATCTATAAAACGTGTTTTAAATATATCATCAATTACAGGTTCAAGGTATCTAATTAATGAAGGTGAGTCAAATCCAAAATAAATACAAAGCTGACGTTGTGGAACCATTTTAGTTATGTGTGTTCAATTGGTCTGTGTTATATGTGTTAAACAGACCTATTTTATGTGTATTAAATAGGTTAAACATATCATCTTATGTGTGTTAACCTGAAAACAAAATGTTTATTAAATGTATCAAATAGATCGGGTTCAGGTAACCCGTTTAATAGTTAGGTCAGGTTAATATTTACAATTCTCAACACGATTATTAACCATGTTAGATTCGAGTTTTGAGATTTTTGACACAAACTCGAAATCAATCCGACATAAAATGACCCAATCCACACATTTGACACTCCTAGACAAAGTCAAAGGTTGAACTGTTAGGATAATTAATAGGATCGATCTTAAAATAAAAAATTATAAAAAAAATATAAAACTTATCCATTCTAAATTATTCATTCTATTTTTTGTCAAACTATATGTGGACTGAATTAATAACAATATAGACCTTCTAGATTGTTGTTCAATTTTATTCATTTTTGTTATAAATTGAAACACTTGAGTGACAAGTACTTAAGTAACTAAGACATGGGGTGATTTTTGAACATTAGAGATGGCTGTACAGCGACAATCTGGTGGTAAGGTTATGGCACTCTTGTAATTGGTGGACTACAAACAACTATGATAAGGAAAAAGAAAATAAAGATACGGAGAGATCATTTTCCAACAAACAGACTGCCATAGTTATACACTATTGCACTCTGTTTTCTGATCAATCATAGACCTTATCTTGTAGCAGCAGGAACATTTTCTCTGGCTAGACGCATCCTACGAAACTCTATGAGCTTGGCAGGCTCTGGTAGTACATCTTTAACAGCATCATTTGCACAAAACCTCTCAGCCCATCCCAACAACTCCGGTGTCTTGGCTTCAGTAAGCAGCTTCACCTCAACCGTTGTCTCTACCACCCTCAGCCACCCCAAGTAGCAACCCAGAGCAATATCAAGGAATCCAACACTATCCCCACCAAAGAAAGCTTTCCCTTTGCCAAACACTTCCTCCAACAACACCAGCCCTTCAACTATTTTCTCTATCACCGCGGCCTTCCCCTCCTCCCTTTCCAACCTAAGCTCCCTGAATAATGGGTACCACTGCAACCATTTGAACTATGTTAAAACACAACCCAAATACAGAAGTGAATTTTATCAAACAGGTGGTGGGTAAATATCAGGAGTACCTTATCATCAATATAGGCTGCCCAAAAGCGAGCAGTGGCGCGATCGTAGGGATCAGAAGGGAGGATGGAGGGGCCTTTAGTCCAGGCTTCATCGATGTACTGGACAATGAGAAGGGACTCGCAGATTGGCTTATCTCCATGGATAAGTACTGGCATTTTCTTGAGCACAGGGTTTGATTTGAGGAGGAACTCGCTTTTGTGATGAAGATTTTCTTCAATGAACTCATAGTCGATGGATTTCAGGTTCAGGGCGATTTGGACCCGATTGCTGTAGGGGCTTGTCAATATACCCAAAAGCTTTACATCACGTGTCGCCATGGCAAATTATCAAACAGATGGTATACTCATCACAAAGCTATGCAATATTTGGATGGAGATTTGTTTGTGGAGTGATTTGCAAGCGCCATTGGTATTTTATGAGTGTGGCAGAACATTGTGAGGTATGCAGTGGCGTAAATGATGAAGAAGGGGTACACCATAGATGTCAACAAAGAGAGTTGGAAGAAGGCACTTTTTTTTTGGTTAATCTCATTTTGCACCTCGAAAGATTGTTAGAATCTCAATTTACATTCTCAAAGATTAAAAATCTCAATTTACACCTTCAAAAAAAGAAATTTGTATCAATGTATACCCCCAAAGATCAAAAATCTCAATTTATACCCTCATAGAAATTTATATCAATGTGTACCCCAAAGATAAAAAATCTCAATTTGCACCCTCAAATATAGAAATTTGTATCAATGTATACCTAAAATTAAATTGATAAATTATACCTAAATCCCATCATATTTGTCAGTTAATCATTTAGACCTCTTCACATTTAGAATATTACTCCTACATCTTATGACATTTGTGCACGTATAACACGTAACCCATTTTCATTAATATCTATTAATATAACCGTTAAAAAAATATAATTTTATCCTAATAAAAAATTATAATTTCATATTACCCTTTATTTTATAAGTTCAATATACTATAAAGTTCAAAATCTAGTTTACCATTTGAATGTCTAATAAAATATAAATATTTATATAATATTTTTCATATTACCTTTTATATAAATATCTATATTTTATTAGACATTCAAATGGTAAGCTTAATTTTTAATTTTAGAGTATATCGAATCCACAAAATAAAAGGTAATATAAAATTATAATTTTATATTAGGATAAAATCATATTTTTTAACAATTATATTAATATATATCAACGAAAAGTGGTTATGTGTTACACATGCATAAACGTCATGAGATGTAAGGGGAATATTCTAAATGTGAAGGAGTTCAAATGATTAAGTGACAAACATGAGGGGATTAAGGTATAATTTATTAATTTAATTTTAGGTGCACATTGATACAAATTTCTATTTTTGAAGGTGCAAATTGAGATTTTTTATCTTTGGGGATGCACATTGATACAAATTTCTATTTTTGAGGGTGTAAATTGAGATTTTTGATCTTTGGGGGTGCACATTGATACAAATTTCTATCTTTGAGGGTATAAATTGAGATTTTTGATCTTTGAGAGTACAAATTAAAATTTAAACATCTTTCAAGGTACAAAATGAGATTAACTCTTTTTTTTTTTGTGAGGTATGCAGTGACGTAAATGATGAAGATGGGGTACACCAAAGATTTTTTATTTAGTATAAAAAAAGCACAACTCACCTAACATACACACAAACACCAAAAATTATACAAAATAATTACTCCGTCGTCTCCAGGAAACGTCGAGGAAGGTATGATCAATGGACTTTTCCAGTCTATAGATACTGAGCTCATTCATGTATGTTACAACACTGCTACTTTTTTTTTTTTTTTTTTTCAATCCAATGGGTTTTTCACGTATGTAGTTTTCTTACATATGTCAATATACTAATTTACTTTTCTTTGACCTCCTATGTTTGAGTGTGAGGCCGCAACATCATTTGAGTCACTAAATTTTGTGGGTATTAGTTCGTTCATGAGCTGCAACATTGAAAACAGTAACAGATCCCACAAGCACCCTTTCAACCTTGATATCCATGGTAAATATTTCTATCTTTTTGCTCCGTAGATGCAAGATCATGAAGGTCGAACAACTTATATCTCAATTTTTTTTGTATGTGTGTGTGTTTTGTCTATGATGTCTGACATTTGGTTATTAATGATGATGATAGAATTCAAACTATGTCTCCTCTCTTTATATTTTAGCTCTAGTCCCTTAACATCTGTGCTAAACAGAAGTATCTTTATGTTCTGCTTTTTTTTGGGTAATTTTATTTTATGCTTCTGTCCCTTGTGTCAATTATTGAAGCAGTAAGTTGTGCTTTTTTAATAACAAAAACTAACATGTAAGACACAGAGAGATCATTTTCCTCAAGCAGGCTGCCAAAAAGTATATGCTATTGCACTCTTTTGTTTCTGATCAACAATATACCTTAATTTGCAGGAGCAGCTTTTGCCCTGGACTGATACATCTTAAGAATCTCTATGAGTTTCTCAGGCTCTGGTATTACATTTTTGACAGCTTGAGCTGAACTAAACCTTTCAGCCCATTCCAACAACTTTGGTGTCTTGGTTTCAGTAAGCAGCTTCACTTCCGTCGTTAACTCTACCATCCTTAGCCACCCCAAACTGCAACCCAGAGCAATGTCAAGGTACCCAATGCTATCACCACCAAAGAAAGCCCTTCCTTTTCCACCTTTGACAAACAATTCCTCTAACAACACCAACCCCTCAACTATTTTCTCTATCAGTACTGACTTCTCCTCCTCCCCTTGTGCCATTCTCAGCTCCATGAACAACGGAAACCACTGCATCCATTTGAATTGGGTCAAAAACACAATTGCAATACATAATTGTAAGTTTCTTTAAAAATATTAGCTCAATATAGAACTGAAAATTCTAGACAAGTTCCATGAACCCTACATAAAATTGATGTTAAACACCTCAAATGGATCTATTAGGCCGTCAAATAAATAAGTCAGACATAAACTCAAAAAAACGAATTCGATTATGCACAATATGAGTGAAATAAATTTTAATACGATATTAAATAAACTCGACAAGTACCAAAGACCATCCTATTCATTGTCATCCCTGAAGATGAGAAAGAGTACCTTATCATCAATATAGGTTGCCCAAAAGTGAGCAGTGACGCGATCATAGGGATCAGAAGGGAGGATGGAGGGGCCTTTAGTCCAGGCTTCATCGATGTACTGGACGATGACAAGGGACTCACAGATTGGCTTATCTCCATGGATAAGAACTGGGATTTTCTTGTGCACTGGGTTTGATCTGAGGAGGAGCTCGCTTTTGGGATTGAGATTTTCTTGAATGAACTCATAGTCGATGGATTTCACGTTGAGAGCTACTTGGACCCGATTGACGAAGGGGCTTGCCGACGCACCTAGTAGCTTTACATCACTTGTCGCCATGGCAAATTATCAAAGCTGTGCAATATTTGTGTGGAGATTTGTGGAGTGATATTTGAAAGCGCTATTGGTATTTATGAGAATAGCAGAACATTGTGAGGTATGCTGTGACGTAAATGATGAAGATGGGGAAGGGGTAGACCATAGATGTCAATAATGAAAGGAGGAAGAAGGCACAACTGACCTACCCGACAGACACACACACTGAAAAATATACTAAATATTTACTTCGTCGTCTCCAGGAAACATCGAGGAAGGCATCAACAATGGACTTTTACACCAAACATCGCTCTTCTCTCTGTCGGGTTTGTGGCTTGGAGATCAAGAAATATTGATATACGGTTTTGACTCGAAAATGAATTAAAAAAAGGATTAATTGTATAAGAAGCGATCAAAATATAGAGTTTGTCTCATTTTAATCATAAATATTTCAATTGTATAATTTTGATCCTTAAAGTATTAAATATGTTTTTATGTAGTCTCTTAAGCAGACAAACATTCAAATTAGTAATTGTTTTTTAATCATAAACTTGTCACGTTATATCTAAATATTAATAAAAAATAATTTGGGTATGATGAGTGTGTGAAAATGCATTCTAAATACCCAATTATTAGATTAAAATGTTAAAATGTGAATACAAATAATTAGATATAATTTATATTATTGAATTTAATATCTATTCAAACTAAGATATATTTGAGCATGAGTTTATAATATTTTAAATCTTAAATATTACATTATTGGTTTGTGAAAGATAATTTACAAATAGGCTTTACAGTTAATATTTTGAGACTTTATTATTGGGCTTTCATATTTGTTTTTCTATTTTGATGGCAGCCCATGGAGCAAAAAAATTGAAATTGATGTTGCTGTCACGTGGGGCCGACACTTGGGGCCGACACTTATAATTTTTATTAGACTTTATCTTTCTCAAATTATACAAGGGGCTTAGGGAGGCCGGTACCTCCAAAAAAACTTAATAGTATAAAAGTATATTTTGTAAAATAATTGAGATAGAAGTACATATGCTAAAAAAAAAAATCATAAAAACCCTTTTATCCCTACTACAAATAGTACATATATATATATAAAATAAAACATGAGTGTGTTTAAATTTTGTCATAATCATATTTTTCTCCTTAAAATCATCAACAATCACTTACCTCACTCATCATCCTTTTGTCAAACTCAAACATCAAATCGCATCACTCATTTTTATCACATATTTAATTATTTATATATTTCCTCCCTAAAAATATTACATCACTCATTTTTATTATATATTTAATCAATTAATATTTGATTAATTTATAGTTAATGTATTTTAAAAAAATTTAATATAGTGGTATCGATTTTTTAGACGTTCGAATTTTATATTTTATCGTACTTTCAGGCACGGGTTATAACTATGTGTGTGTGAAATTTAAAAATTCAAATGATACACAAATATCAAAAAAAGTCTTAAAAGTTTTACATTCAAGTAAGTATACATTTTTTATGGTAGAGATAATTATGAAATCCATTGTAGAAAGAATTTAAAAATATTTTAAAATATGTATTTATTGACAACTATTTAATAACAAAAAGAATTTAAAGGAGAATAAGTTTGAAGGTAATATTTAAAACAAAATAAGTTTTAGAAAAAATACTCACATCTCATTATCTTATTATATAAGATTTGGATTTTAGGACCGAAGTAAAAAGGTTTAAATCAAGAGAGACCGAAATAAAAAGGTTAAAATAAAGAGGGAGAAAAAGATTATTTTCAAAAACGAAGTTTGACTTTTAAATCGTATTCTATTCTTTAAGAAGGCAGACGGCTGGCTTTTGCTTTTCTTTTATGTGTGGCGGCTGGAATAAAACACAGAAGGCTGGGCGGCTGCTGAACAAACGGAGGAGAGGCGCAGATCAGAGCAAAAAAATTCCAATGGCTGCTGGTTTGCTTTATATCTTTGGGATTTTTTTGCTATTCGTTATATTTATAGGTAGTTAAATTTTCAAGGTAGGCACAGGGATGAACTTATATAATAAATAATATTTTATTTATTTTTAATTTATGTATTTGAGTTCTAATTAATACAACTCTTTTGTTTTATTAATCTCAATTTATTGTTGATGTTTTTTTTTTGAATAATCATTGAATTTATTTTATTTATGGATTCAGTCATGTTTTTTCAATTGAATAGATTAGTTCTTTGATTATGTTTGAACCAATTATTTATCTATATTGATTTAATTCTTCACTACAATATTGCTTTTTGAGTATGTTATCGTCGTTAGATTTTCTCAATAGTGATAATAATTTACGTATTTTAAAAGTGGTAAATGATTTTTCAAAAGGTTACATTGGGTTTAATCTTGGTTTATATAAATCTATATCTTCCGGTTGAGAATTAAATTTTCAATTGAATTATTCAATGAATTAAGAATAGTTAAAATACCAGATTTGTGCAAGAGATTCTCGACGTTTTACTGTTTGTCAAATTTGAATACTTTTTTCGTTAGTTACTTTAATTTGCATTTAAAATTAATCTTTATTATTGAGTTATCATTTAATTTTTTTGTTCGTTCTATTATTCTTTTAATTTATTTCTCTGTGGAATCGATACTCCAAAAGTATGCTACAATTACCGCGCTATTCTTTGGACATAATAAGGGTAGCTCTTGATCCTCATCCATTTATTCCTTTGTTTAAGATATGATAATTAGATTAACAATAAATTATCATTAAAAAATCGATTCACATGATCCTATAGTAAAATTGAGTCCAAAATCAATGCATTGCTTTTCATATAAACCACATTTGTAGCTTAATTTTACGTTAATCTCACTTGTTTTCCTTTGGTCATCGGATTCATGTAAATAATAACATATGCCAGTGTCATGTGATTGATTCTTATGATTAGTCTTGGATATTGTGTGATTTTTATTTTATTTATTAGATAATTACGTTGGACAACGCATTAATTGTGTTTAATTGATTGAGTTGTAGATATCATCTTATTTTTTGTAGTGTTTGTCTAACTTTATAGGTAAATTAGATGAATTAGATTATTTGAACGACAAAATATAAAAAGAGGAAGAGATTTGGAGCAATAAGAAATTAGAAAGAAGTTTTCGGTCTCATGCGACCGAACGAAAGTTCAAGTAGTAGACAGAAGACACGTGTTCGTATGAAGAGGGGATGCGTCTGAATAGGACTTCTAGAGAATAACAAGAGAGAACGCTGCCAAGTGCGTTCGGACGTCCCAAAACACACGTCCGGAGCGATGGACAGAAAGGCCAAGATGCGAAGGTATTGTCCAATTGTCTTAAGACTTAAACGGAAATTAGGCCTATTGTTCCGTAATGCCTATTTAAGTTGGTGTAAATCCCATAGAGGGTCCTTCTGCTCTTTGCCCCTCTTCCCTAGATTTTGTTTTTGTTTCTTTTTGTATTGTTAAGTCCCTAAATAAAGTTAGGGGAGATATTTTTAATAAAATATAATATTTTTTTTTTATTCAATGTTCTTTTAATTTAATTTTTGTCTTTTAGTAGAGTTTTTGCGGTATATAATTTCTTGATTCGTTGTATCATATACATCGAATGCTTGAAATTTTCTACAAGTCAAATAACTGATTTTCTATGCTTGAATTAATTAATTAATTAGGATTTTTATAAAATAATTTATTTATTATTTGTAATAAAATTAGGATTTATAATTGATGATTTATTTAGATAAATTATTAATTATACTTTTGGATATTTTTAATAATATCAAAGCTAAATATTTTGATTGGAATACCTCATCAACTAATTCTCAATTGAGTTCTAAAATCGATCTCGAACTACCAAGTTTATATTACTTCACGACAACTTATATATGGGACATACATATTTAAAGTTGTAGCATTACCCCCAATGAAAAATTATCACAACGCTTGTTTGTCGGACTTGTTAGTTAATTTTTTCAAAAAAAATCTGACAACTTTATAGATGAAAACAATTTATTGAAAATATATAATATTTTATACTGTAGTGTGATACCCCGAATACCGAATATTTTCTCATGTTGATGATAAGAGTTTTGTTAGGATGATATTCTTCCTACGGTTGTAATAGGAGAGTTAGAGGTGTTAATCAAACCAAGTTATCTGAGCTTGATTATGGTCAGGTTCAACTCGTGCTATTCAAGGACTCCTCAAGTTTGGCTTGGGGCTCGTCTATCGAGCTCAAACTATTGTTCAAGCTCGTCTCAAACCGAATTTGAGCCAAAAATACGACATTAAAAAAACAAGTCAAATTCACAAATTTCAAATACCCAATCAAAAAATTTCATAAAAAATGCACACAAATCAAAATTTTAACACAAATTTGAGTTAAAATACCTCTAAATCACAACAAAAACATACAATCTCACATTTTTGCTAATTTTACTGAAATAACCTCAATAACCGTAATTTATATATATATATATTGTACAAGTAGAAAAAATGAGCCCGCTCACGAATAGTTCAAGCTCGGCTCGACTCAACTCGACTCGAATACTAAATAAGCCTAAAATTTTATTCAGATGCGACTCATTATATAATATGAGCAAGTCCAATCCACACTAGCATTTCACAGCTCTTGTCAAATGGTACAAATCTGTCTCAACCTCAACATATTGAAATCCTTCCATCAATTCGAGTCCAATTCGGATCCAAGACTCGTTGCCTGATTAATATTCCCATAAAATTCAGCAATCCAGCGTCCTTCCCCTCTCTCTGTTACTGCCAGCGCCAGTCACACCGCCATTAACGTATATTATGGAATTCGAACTTTGTTGTCGTTTGTGATAGTTTAGCTCCATCTATGCTGGCTTTTGCAATAACAGATAGCTTATAAAGTAGGCTACTTGGCATCTTTGCATACATACATAAGGCACCTTAATTTATGTCTGTTATGCAAAGCACAAGTTGGTACTTTTTAATAACCCAAAAAAAAAAAAAAGGCTTCTTATTATAGATGTCTGTAATGCTACAATCTTGGTTATAAGGTTGTGGGATGCCACATCCCTGAAATTGGTGGACTAGAGACACCTATGAAAAAAGAAAGAGAAAATAAAGACACAAAAATGACGTATTATTGCACTCTGTTTCTGATCAACTGTAGACCTAAATTTTTTTTCTTTTTTTTTTTTTTTGGGGGGGGGGGGGATAGTCCCTAATTTGCAGCAGGAGCAGCAGCTTTTGCCTTGGCTTGATGCATCTTAACAATCTCTATGAGCTTCTCAGGCTCTGGTAGTACATCTTTAACAGCATCATTTGCACAAAACCTCTCAGACCATCCAAACAACTCTGGTGTCTTGGTTTCAGTAAGCAACTTCACCTCAATCATTATCTCTAACACCTTCAGCCACCCTAAGTAGCACCCCAGAGCCATATCAAGGTACCCAATACTGTCACCACCAAAGAAAGCCTTCCCTTTGGCACATTTGACAAATGCTTCCTCTAACAATACCAACCCTTCACCTATTCTCTCCACCAGTGATGCCTTCACCGCCTCCCCTTGTGCCATCCTCAGCTCCTTGAATAATGGGAACCACTGCAACAATTTGAATTATGTCAAAACACAATTGTAATGCATATTGAAATTTAATTTAAAATATTGACCGAAGATAGAACTGACAATTTTAGATAAGACCCATGAACCTGATATGAAATTGATAAGACATGTAGACTTTGTTAGAGCCATTAAATCAATCAGTTAGACCCATCAAATAAATAAGTTAAAATGATCTTACTAAACACATGTTAAAAGAGCATTGGCTAGAAGTGTGAGTACCTTATCATCGATATAAGCAGCCCAGAAGACAGCATTGGCGCTCTCGTAGGGATCAGAAGGGAGGATGGAAGGACCATTAGTCCAGGCCTCAGCGATGTACCGAACGATGACAAGGGACTCGCAGATAGGCTTATCACCATGGATAAGAACTGGGATTTTCTTGAGCACAGGGTTTGATTTGAGTAGGAGCTCACTTTTGGGATTAAGATTTTCTTCAATGAACTCATAGTTGATGGATTTCACATTCAGGGCGATTTGGACCCGATTGACGAAGGGGCTTGCCGGTGTACCCAGAAGCTTTACATCACTTGTCGCCATGGCAAATTATCAAACAGATGGTATGCTGAACAGTGAGCAGCTGTGCAATAATTGGATGGAGATTTGTGGAGTGATATTGCTGGCGCCATTGGTATTTATCAGAGATGAAGAAGATAGTGAGGTATGCCGTGACGCATAATCTGAAACAATGAGACAATTTTTTAAAGGCGCAATTGGATTGAGCTATACACAAGCACTCAATATCTTAATTTACTCCGTCTTCTTAGCCACATATGCCGGCCGAGGGAGACAGCGATGGGTTTCGCTCTAAAAATCCCGGGAACTTCGAGGAACTAGTCAATGGACTTTACATACAGCAACGCCACTCTAACTCTTCTCTCAAACCATCCCATGGACTGCGTTCCTGTTTGTTTGTGTGTGTGTGTTGTGTCTTGGAGATCAAGAAAATATTGAACTCCATTTTCACTTAAAAATGTTGGGTTTGTTATCCGGGTAAGGTGGGGGGGGGGGGGGGGGCAATCCCGTATCCATTTTAAAAATATTCATTCACTCTTACTAGCGAAACAAATTTTAATCTCGTCCCTGTCCGGTAGGTATACTTTGATCTCCACCCATGCCCATAATAATTAATTTTTACAATTTTAAGAAAAATTTTTTTTAAAAAATTCATAAAATCTCATAAATAAATTTGTAAGAAAAATGAAAACTTGTTATATAACAAATGGATTAAACATAAAAACTTACAAAAATAATATGTATAATAAATTTGTATTTTACTTATTATATATATATATATATATATATATATATATATATATATATATATATTAATATATTATGGCTTTAGCAGGACGGGGATGAGTTTCATCCTCACACGGGTTTGAATAAATACTAATTTTTTTTCAATCCATTGTTATCCCTAAATACTAGTAGTTGACTTGTCACCCATGCAATGCACAAAATTTGTAATATGTCTTCGATCCTTCATTGTCGCCTTTTCTCCTACTCAAAGTAGGACCTAAAGCGAAAATATAAACGATGTCTTATTAATTTTTAAAATAAATATTGAGATTTAAATCATTACATAATATTATTTATATTTTTTTTGAAATGTGAAAGTATTTATTACGTTTTTGTATGTAAGTTTTGTAAACATATTATTTTAATAAATAGTATAATTAATTTGAATAAAATGTGATACTTGATATAACGGTAAGATGGAATTTTACTTGATTTATAGTATAATCAGTGAAAAGAAAAAAAATATAAAAAATAAAACTTAAATTAAATATCAGAGACTCAAAGAGTGTTTTTTGTTTCCATTATCAACCTAAATAAATTCTCAATAAACTCAAATTAAATCTAAAGAGCTATAACTTATTAAAAGATTATTGAATTTTAGAAAAATTAACAAATAAAATAATTTTCAAACTACCCAAAATAGTTGGAAATAGTATATTGAAAAAAATATTATATCACTAAATAACATTATTATAAAATAAACTAATATTGCATTAGTGTATGGGTCTTAAAAATCATATCGAACTTAGATCTACGATTTTTGCCTACTAATTTTAAAAAGCCCTAAATTCAATTTAAACTTACTTGAACATGAGTTTTAAAAATTTTATGGGTCTTTTAGAGGCCGGTTTCTTTTTATAAACTTATTTGAACTTAAGTACATTAAAAAAAACTTGTTTAAGAATAAGTTTATTTTGATAAACATTGTCCAAAATACCTTCAATAGTTATTGAAAAAATTAACAACTCATAAATTGGGAACTGTATTAATATTAACAACTCAAAATTTGAAAATTGTGCTAAGATTGTTTATATATATAAATATATAATAAAGTAGACATAAATTTGAATCCAGAGATAAAGAAATGACTAAATCATTTTGAGACAAAACATAAAAACATCCAACAGACAACGTAATTCCAACATAAAAGAAGGTTCAGATCATTTCATAAATTTTGATCTAACGGTGTATAGTGATTACTAAATTTTATTTTCCCGCCCACCTCTCTCACGCCTCTCTCTCACTTATGTCTCTCTCTCACACCTCTCTCTCTCACTTCTACCTCATTCTCCCAATCTATCACGCCTCTATCACATGGAATGCATTTCAAATCTTCTCTCAATCTCAAATCTCACTCATTCACTCACACATTCTTCTACCAATCTTTGTGCCGCTGTTTATCCTCCACCAGCAAAGTCAAAACCCAGCTAACGCCGCTGCCCAGGTACATATTTTTCTCTCACTCACTCATTCACTCACACAATCTCTCCCTCTGTTCTTTCTCTTTTTCTTTCAATAGTCGCTACCCATCCACCGTCAGCAGTGTCAGAGTCATTCGTCCATCGCTACTACCCACCCTATTCCCAACCACCACCCCCTGCCTACGCAACTAGCACCACCACCTCACGCTACCTCATCCCACCCTACCTTAATTGCAGATTAGTTCAATCAGTTGCCAAAATTTTGTATCTCACGTGTTCGACAAAATTAACCAAATAAATATGCACATTTTATTTTGATGGTCTGAATTTTTTGGTTGTTTTATTTTCCAGTATTGCTTTATGCTTTGAAATTCTACCATCACATGTATGTTTTTATGTGCTCTGAAAATTAAGTGCATGTCGCATACCTCTAAAGAAGGGATAACAGATGCAGTATAATAACAAAACTTATACCTTCAGAATTTGGTAATAACTTTGATCTTCTTCAAGTATACTCTCTCTCTCTCTAACTCTGTTTTCTTTTAAAAACTTTCTCAATTTGATCTAATTGAGTGTTGTATGGTGTGTTTGAGCATGTATTGATCAATAAATTTGAACATATGATGTCAAGGAGAGAGAGGGGATTGGCTACTGCCAATGCCAGTGGCCTTGGTGATCATTGTGGATCTAAAGTACGTGTTTATTTGATTTCCCGCTTCGTGTGTTTCCGTGTGCAGCCTATGTGTTTGTATTTGTGCCTGAGAGAGATTTTAATTTGGTGATTGCTTGAAGAACATTGTGTTTGCTACGCAGGGGATGATTTCTATGATATCAACGGATGTTGCAACAATGACAATCATGTGAATTGTGTACAGTGTTGCAACAATGGCTTTATGAAGGGCCAAGGTTTGATTCTTACATTACTCCTATTTTAATATAGGTCTTGTTGTTTTGAATAATTTATCACCATGGTTTATAGCTTTCAAATTTGGGACAATGGATTTTGAATAATTTCTCTCCATTTTAAAAACAATTTTTGATCAAGAGGCTTATTTTTTCCTTACAAGCTATTTGGTGTAAAATTTTGACCTACATAGTTTGGTTTAAGTGTTTGTTGATTGATTGAGATTGAAATCATAGATATGATATGCTCTTGAAGTTAAAACTATACACTGTGCATGTTTGGTTTGCTAATTTCATTTAGAAACGGAAGAAAATGAAGAAGCGAGTATTCTTAAGATTAGCTGTTTGGAATGGAGCTTATATGTGTGTTTGTTTGTCCTTAGGCATGCCGAATGGAGTTGTTACTGATAAAAAATTGCTAGGTACCTATTCAACATGTTTGGCCTGTAAGTTCCTTTTGAATTATTTCTATATACTTTTTTTTTAATTTGTTCTTTCTTGGTCCTCCATGTTCATTACTCAATAAAACAGTTGTCTTAGATTGTCCATTGCAACTCTCTCTTAGTTATTGCAATAGTGGGAGTAGGTGATTGCAATGTATAGGTAACTATTCAACTTTATCTTTGCAAAAAATGGATTGTAAGGGACAATCTAATTGGTTCCTATCAGCCTCATAACAACTCAAGGTGAAATGGTGGCATCATTGGCTAGAGTTACTGTTTGCCTGATCGTCCTGTTTGATTACATACATACCCAAAACTCATGCACAGATGAACGTATACATGTTTGACTGTTTGAATTGTGTTTTTGTTCATGAATGTTGCTGCTATAGGCTATAAATGGGTTGGAATTCTTTTCACACATGCACATATACATATGTTGCCGCAATGCAGGGATGCACAACCTCATTATTTTGTTACATATGTAAAGATGAACATGTTTGCTGTTCATATAACACAGTTTTTAGGCTGTATGTTTGCTGGTAGAAGTACCGATTGTAGATGGACTTTCAATATATTGTTGCTCCTGACACTCATTAGGATTGTGCTACATCTGGACTGCTCAATAATGTTGATGAAAAATCTAGGTTTTTCCATTACTTAAAAGTGATGCATCATAAGCTAATATATCACTAATTCAACTTTACCATTACTTCACCGACTAACCATTCCAATCAATTTCTAGAAATACAACTAACTCAACATCAACTAGAACAACAAACCCAATTGAGATTGAGTATAATTTGTCATTTGGTTTTTAAGTGTCATTGAATGTGCTTATAGTTTTTTAGTGGTCTATTCGATTGTTTTGGTTTTGAAATTGAGTAATGTTTATTTGCTTGGAGTTGATTAAGTGATGCTAGAATATTTTTATGGTAGAATAATTGAATTTGGAATTTGAAAGTGCATACCAACTATTTGATTTTTTGCTAAATAGCATAAAAAATCATGAGTTATTTAGAAATTTTCCTTGGCAGTGTTCTTCCTGCATTCTAAATTATCTTATGTTGTCCAAAAGTGCATTCTTTCATTGGAATTGCAAAGTTACCCTTACAGCTATTGTTTGTTGTGAATCTAATGCCCATGCCTTTACAAATGTTTGGGTGTTGTTTGTTTTTGATTGACCAAATATTATGGTGATGAATGTTTTTCATATTGATTATTTAAGTGGTATCTCTTGATATTGATTGTTAGTTTTTTTTTTCTTAAGGATATGTGACTTGCGGTGGTTGTGCTAGACATATGATATTTACCTGAGTTATCTATTGATTTATGCAGGCTATCAACTATATGGCAATATTTTTTGAGTTGCATTGCGGCTCCAAACACAGTCACCAGGTCCAAACCACGTCACCCACAGAAGCTCTCACTTTGCTTTTGAATTGTCAATTAGACGTCTTTTCAAAAGAAATTCTATCAAAATTTTATTAAAGATAACAATTAGTTTATATCAACTATTAAAATTTTGTTTGTTACCAATTATTTTGATGTGAGTTTCATGTGTGTTGTCATAACTAAATGTAATATGTTGGTATTTGTGTGTTGAACAAGTGATTGAATGTTGAAATAGTGGAATCTAGTGTAATAAAAGTTATCGTCCTCAATGTGAAAAAAGAGCTTTTTTATTTGCTTTGCCTTTTAAATTGACAATAAATTTTTCTCTTGCTAATGCTTATTTTTTTAATTA